AAAACAAATTCAAAGGTTTTGTTTGAAGATTCAGATTTGAGTTCTGCAGATGTCTTAACGTTAAGTGAGTCTTCGCACACCCTGGGTCTTGGTTGGGACCCTGTGAATGATACTTTCAACTTTCCAATCAAGGTTAATACTGACATTGATATAAGCACCATCACAAAAAGAATTATACTGTCGCTTTCATTTCAAATCTATGACCCGCTTGGTCTTTTGAGCCCCTGCATTATTCAAGCAAAAATATTAGTCCAAAGGCTATGGCTAGAAGGAATAGGATGGGATGAACCCATTTCTGTGGATCTTAGGGAGAAGTGGTCTGAAATCTACAATAACCTGTCTTTTCTTGCAAGTCTTCAGATTCCCCGCAGGGTGCTGTGCGAGTCTCCGACATCTTTTGAGCTGCATACCTTTAGTGACGCTTCGCAATGCGCTTATGGTGCTTGTGTATACTTGAGATCCACGAGCTGTGACAACGAGATCACGGTGAGGCTACTATGCTCAAAGTCAAAGGTGGCACCTCTTAAACCGTGCACCATACCTCGTCTCGAACTCTGTGCCGCATTGTTAGCTGCTAGACTGTCTAGGAGTGTACTTGATTCATTAAGAGGGCTCCCTACTCGTACGTTTCACTGGTGCGACTCGAGTGTGGTGTTGGGATGGATTAACAGTAATCCAATGAAGCTTAAGCAATTTGTTGCTAACAGAATAGGCGAAATACTGGAATTAACTAATCCCAAATCGTGGTACTATGTTCCAACTGACTCCAATCCTGCTGATTTAATATCTCGTGGAGTCAATAGCAACCAGCTTTCTAGCATGGAATTGTGGTGGTCAGGTCCTAGTTATTTAAAAAAAAAATGAATTAGAATGGCCCAAATTAAACGGAAAAACAGTAGTTGAGAACTTACCTGAAGTCAAGGTACTCACTATTGCGATCGTAGATGAGGGAATACCCTTAATCGACTTTAATAAATTTTCGAATTTTGATAAAGTACGTAGAATTCTGGCTTTCGTGTTGCGTTTTTGCCATAATATAAATTCTAAAACTAAATCCATGAAGTATACAGGGTATTTTAGGCCCGAGGAGTTGCAAAACTCATTTATTTTAATTTGCAAAATTAATCAATCATTGTGTTTTAAGGCAGAGTACGAGAAACTTTTGAAGGGCGTTGCGTTGAGCAGTAAATCGAAAATTTCGTCTCTATCACCATTTTTGGATGAGCAGTTTGTAATACGTGTTGGTGGTCGACTTGGTTCCTCCAACTACCCATTTGAAAGGAAGCATCCCATATTAATTGACTCCTCGCATCGTTCGACAAGGTTACTGTTTGAACGTGAACACATCAAAAATCTGCATGCTGGTCCACAGCTTCTACTGGCTACCTTGAGAGAAACCGTTTGGCCTATTAACGGCAGGAGGCTCGCTAGAAGTGTCGTAAGGGATTGTCTTGTTTGCAGCCGTGTGCGCGGCCAAACACTTTTAACCAGAATGGGCGATTTACCTGCATATCGCGTATCAGTTGATTTTCCATTTAGGACTGTTGGCGTAGATTATGCTGGTCCTTTTCTTATCCTAAATAGAAAGGGTCGAGGCGCTAAAGCAACAAAGTGTTATTTATGTATTTTTATATGTTTGCGATTCAAATGTATACATTTGGAGGCAGTGTCAGATTTATCAATGGAATCTTACATAATGACCCTCCGTAGATTTGTAGCGCGTCGTGGTAAGCCAGCGGAGGTATATTCAGACAACGGTCGAAATTTTGTGGCAGCAGCCAAAGAATTGTCTAGTTTTTTAAAATAAAATAATAAACGTCTATCCGAGTTTGCATCTCAGGAGGAAGTAAAGTTTAATTTTATTCCGGCTTACGCTCCCCACTTTGGCGGAATGTAGGAGGCTGGTGTGAAATCCGCAAAGTATCATATTAAAAGAGTAATGGGAAATACGCATCTTACGTTCGAGGAATTTGGTACATTATTAGCACAAGTAGAAGCAATTTTAAACAGCCGTCCCCTTTGTCCCATGTCTTCCTCTCCAAATGACTTACTTTCCTTATCCCCCGGGCACTTTTTGATTGGAAGACCTTTGAATGCTTTACCATCAGCCGCACTGGAGGACCTGAAGGAGACATCTTTAAGCCGCTTCGCCCGTTTGGAGCAGATACGTCAGCATTTTTGGAGAAGATGGCAGAAGGAGTACATAACCGAATTGCAACAACGAACAAAGTGGAAGACAACAAGGGCGACGCTTAATGTTGGAGATTTAGTACTGATTCACGAAGATAATAATCCCCCGCTAAATTGGAGGATGGGTAGAGTTACACGATTATATCCTGGATCAGATGGGATTTCTAGAGTCGCTGATATTCATACCACTAAAGGATGTATACGTCGGCCGTTGGTTCGACTCTGCCGACTTCCCGCTGCTGTTGAATTTAAAGGTTGAAGAACTTGGCTCTTCAACGGGGGGGAGTATGTTCGCGCCCCTATAAACCCCACATATACATACATATAAAAGAAAAGGAATATTACAAATCATAGCGAAAACTTGCATTTATATAACGGATGGCGCCATCTATTGAATGGGACACCGGAGCGCTCTTAGCCCAAGCGTCATTGGTTGTCGCCGGCAGATAGCAGATGTCGCCCGCGTTCGTGTGTTCGGCTGGTTTTACCGACCATAATGTCATGACTTGTTAAAAATTGTTAAATTCATTCTGTCAAGAAAACTGTTACTGCTAAATTGATTTTATTATAACATAAAGCGAAATTACTAAAAACACCGAGTTTTTATTGAAGAAGACTCCACTTCTATGCCCAAACACATAATAATAATATAAATGTTTAATTATCTATTATTTGTTATACCTGTACAAGGTGACTAAGTCATAAGATCCTATGTATTATGTTTAAGAACCGTATGTAACACTTAGTTTGCAAATAAAGAGTTTGAGTTTGAGTTTGAGGGGGGCCCTACACACTAAAAACCTGACGATGCCCCTCACCTCACCGACGGGCCTTTTCCGGGCGAATGATCCACCATCTGGCGGCACTCCGCCCAGCGAGGAAACGGCACTGGATGAGGCCACGGGAACCCTTTCGGATACTTTCGCGACAACTCATTTCTACACTTGAACGTCCTATTCTCTCTCTCTTCCTCTCTATCTAAAATTATCACAACTTTTTTTTCTGCTTCAAAGGAAAAAGCCTGGGCAAGTGCGTGTCGTGCTACGCGTACACAGTGTAAGGTTCCGTAGTTGCCACAATATTTTTGAGCAGTACCCCTAGCACGAACCAATATCGAAGTCGAATAGTATGCGAGTCCGAAATGTCATTGTCAAATTTTGTATGAAAACTTGAAAATTAGCCCTATATCGTACGTAAAGAGAACTAAAAATCAGTACACACACATTTAGCAATGACATTTCGGACTCGCAAACGATACGAATTCGATAATGGTTCGTGCTAGGGGTACAGGTCTTTGTTTTCTGTATCGGAAATTAAAAAACGGTTAATGTAACACTATGTAGCTCAACTAAAATATCCTAAATTCTCAACATTTTTTTTTAATTACAAATGATAACTGCCGATCCTTTCAAGTCTTTATAAAAATGTAACGATAGCGCGATTCAGAAGCCGTTGCCGTTGGTACTCGCGGTAGCTTTGTGGAACTATTTGGAACTAATGATATTGTTACGTGTCGGGATGGGGTTCGAATTTATATGCCAGTTCACGCTTGACAGTTCTTTATTCACCACACAGTTCACACAATTAACACACAATGTCAATGACAAAACACTCACTAAACACTGTATTTCACTATACAAGTCTCTAAACAATCTCACTTGAACACTTTGTTGCACTTTGATCGCCTTTGGATTCGCTCCGAAACCGCTGTTGAAACTCAACTGTCTCTGCGCGGCGCCAATCGCGCTTATATACGACGATCGACGCATTCTAGAAAGTACCTGTTAAATTGAGAATTACCTAGCACCCGCGAGTACGAAATACATACTTATACCTACGCAGGTAACACGCATAACTTGTAAACAAGTGCAGATGTCGTTGCACTTTCTTCCTTACGTCGCACTGCATAAGGCTCATTTCAGAATGAGCCGCATTACTCGACCTCTATCACGACTGGCACTTTCGCGGTTACGTTTGGAGAGCGTTTGTGACAATATTTTATTTATGCCAATGCAGGGTTTACGCTACACTAACTTCATGTATGTCATTATTAATGTTTTCTTCTAAGCAATTATTTCCCTAAAGGTTCATGATAATCACTAATATCATGATTTTTTTCCAGGTTTTTCAAGCCTATAGTTTAGTCATAGAATAATAGTCTTGGGAACCCCTAAGTAATTCTAAAGGACCTATTCAACGAATAAGTCCTTTAGAATTACTTAGGGGTTCCTCAGTTCCCACTAGATGATGCAGTTTAAGAAAAAAATCATCTTCAAATCATCCCAGGTTATATGTAGGGGAGCTACCCTAAAAACATATTTTTCAAAAATTTATTCTACCATTTTGTCGGCGTGTTTGATATATACATATCTTCACAAAATTACAGCTCTTAAATGCTAACAGTCTCCAAGCAATATAGGGAACGGACAGACGGACATGACGAAACTATAAGGATTCCTTGTCAGGACTGCGGATCCCTAAAAAATGAGAATTTGATTTTAAAAGCTAGATAGATAGCCACGCGCCAGAAAAAACGGTCTTCATATAAGGATGAACAACAAACTAATGTAAGAGTCACTATTTTGTCTCCGTGCTTCGGAAGGCACGTTAAGCCGTTGGTCCCGGCTGTATCTGCAGTCGTTAGCACCCGCCAATCCGCACTGGGCCCGCATGGTGGGTCATGGCCCAATCCATCCCTATTCCATCTATAGGGAAGGCCTGTGCCCAGCAGGGACATTAATAGGCTGATGATGATACTATTTTGAGGTGTAGAACTCTAAAATTGGAAACAAAAAATTAAAAGAACTTACCCGAAGTAAAGAAGTTTCTTACGATGAGAAAGGGTTTGATGACGAAACGCATAGTCAACACGCCTAACATAAAGATTAGCGTTACACTACTAGCCCTTTCCAGTTTTCGTATTACAGTGCAGATTTCATCGTAGCAGTGTGTCATCACTTCTAATGATTTTGAAATAGATTTAATGAGGTTGTGGCCTACGACGAAGACTGGAATCAAATTATATGATATTACTAGCGGCCCGCCCTCGCTTCGCTTCGGTGTAGAGCTGAAGTGTAGACTACAGTTTTTGTTCTCAGACTTGTATTATACACAATGACATTCATCTATGATTCTTCTTATACCTGCATGCAAAGTCTCCGCCCGATCGGTTTAAAATTTCATACAAACTTTCATTCCCTATTTTATCCTCTTGGGGATGGAATTGATCAAAATCCTTTCTTAGCGGATGCCTACGTCATAACATCTACCTGCATGCCAAATTTCAGCCCGATCCGTCCAGTGGTTTGGGCTGTGCGTTGATAGATCACTATGGCATTCAGTCACCTTTGAGTTTTATATATATAGATATTTGTTACGTCACCGTAAACTGACGATATGAGATGTTGTTGGGATTGCACTATACAACATAATTCAGGCGTCAGAATAAGTTTTCCTTGGTGTAGCAGTGGATAGGTACCTTCACCAATCCTTAATAATATATCAGAAAATTCACGATCATCCGGGTTATCTCCAGTTCTCACTCGCATGTTTATAGTCAAATGCACCGATTGTATATCACGCCACTAATAACAGCTTTTCAGGCAAGCCCTAACGTCATCAGCTCGGATCCCCCGTGGTATTACCGGTAAGGTTTGTCGGAAATCACCACAAAATAAAACTGTGATACCGCCCATTGGTCGATCATTTTGTCTTATCCGTTACACAAAAATAAATCCTTATAGCATGATTCAGTATTTACGTGCGACGGCGCGATGGCTTATTTCATGTATAAGTTTGGTGTTTCTATACCAATTTCTATGATTCTTTTTTTATTGAATAGGTAATAATGTTAACTTTTTTAAATTAGGGATGAGTGAGAGTATTATAAACGTAAGAGTAAACAAATATAATCAGAATTCTCCGAACTGCTAAGCTATCAGGAGATACACGTGTTATTGTAAGTCAACCATAAAAGATAGACATATGCTGTTGCGGGATATTTTTTAGAAAATTTTATGTAGAATATTTTTGTCATACATAATTTCTATGTAACTTTAACCATTATGCTGCGCACGCGACGGAAGCTTAAAAAATGGAGTAACTTCTCCCGTTTTCCCAACATTTCCCTTCATTACTCTGCTCCTATTCATTGTAGCGTGATGAAAAGTATACTATAACCTGCCCAGGAGTATGAAGAATAATTGTACCAAGTTTCGTTAAAATCCGTCGAGTAGTTTTTGTTTCTACAAGGAACATACACACAGACAGACAGACAAACAGACAGACAAAAATTTTACTGATTGCATTTTTGGCATCAGTATTGATCACTAATCACCCCCTGATAGTTATTTTGAAAATATATTTCATGTACAGAATTGACCCCTCTACAGATTTATTATAAGTATAGATAGGTCGTTTGATTTTTGAAGTGAAAACTTCTTTAGCGGCGTTGTACACTTTTTTTTTGTATGGGTAAAAAATGTTAAACTCGCGTCAGGTTAAACACGTGGGCTGATCGCATCATGACACACAATAAAATTGGAATGGTTGTTGACTTCAATATATTGGACGAAATATAGTAATATTTTATTTTACCGTATTATATTAATAAGTCTCTATCTTACTAGGACGTCCACGTGGCAGCTTTATTGCGAAGAAAATGCTTTTTTCTACAATAGATGTCGCTAGGAGCGCTTAAATGTGATTCATGTAAGTTGATTTCTTTACAATAGATGTCGCTAAGTGCGCTTAAACGTGATTCATGTAAGTTGATTTTTCTGAGAGATAAACTTTTTTAATGTAATATAAATTGTCGTATTTGTGTACGATAGCGCAATATATAAATATTGTATTCTACCACATACGTGATAGTACTTTTCTACTGATAATTAAAGCAATTCGTGCAAAATTATTCCCTAACCATTCCAAAATATCAAAAATGCACAAAGTTAATATTCAAGATTTCACTTCTGCCGGCACGCCCGGAGTAGGTACAACCCGTCGTTTTTTTTGTACACAGACTGTAACTGGTTAAAACCAGCACAAAATAAAGCTTGTGCCAACGCTATGTAATATTGCTACATAATGCGTGTGACACGCCCCTTGACATTGACCAACGGCGATACCTTGTTCCACCACGAGGTCGTCCGATCGTGACGTCAAACTAACGTGTCCAATCAAAAGGCGGGTTACCCCAAGGAAGTTATATTAAACAGGGCGTCCCAAGGTCATCACGTCACACGGAGGGAAAGTATCTCTTATCTATTAGACAAGTCCGTCCGTCCGTCCGTCTGTGGTGCTGTTTCAGCGGCCAAACCGTAAGAGATAGATAAAGAGAATATTTAAGTTAAAAATTAAGAATAGTCTGATAAGACTACAAACCGGATTTGAGTAACGTAGCACTTCCGGTTTTCGAGAAATCACGAATTTCAAACGAAACCACACAAAATCTCCGAAGTTCTCAATTAATTAAATACATTTTTTTTAAATCAGGTTTTGGTGAACATTTGGTTCACTGGTTTGCTAGTATTAAATATTGAAGATAAGATATTTTACTGAAAGAAGATATCATTTTATTTTCAACTAGTGGCCCGCCCTCGCTTCGCTTCGGTGTAGAGCTGTAGTGTAAACTATAGTTTTTGTTCTCAGGCTTGTGCTATAAAGAATGACTTTATTTATATAATTACACGTGTTATTGTGAGTCAACCATAAAAGATGGACATATACTGTTCCGGGATATTTTTTAGACAATTTTATGTAGAATATTTCCGTCATACATGATTTCTATGTAACTTTAACCATTAAGGCTACACCCGCGACGGAAGCTTAAAAAATGGAGTAACTTCTCCCGTTTTCCCAACATTTCCCTTCACTACTCTGCTGCTATTGATTGTAGCGTGATGAAAAGTATACTATAACCTGCCCAGGAGTATGAAGAATAATTGTACCAAGTTTCGTTAAAATCCGTTGAGTAGTTTTTGTTTCTATAAGGAACATACACACAGACAGACAGACAGACAGACAAAAATTTTACTGATTGCATTTTTGGCATCAGTATCGATCACTAATCACCCCCTGATAGTTATTTTAGAAATATATTTCATGTACAGAATTGACATCTCTACAGATTTATTATAAGTATAGATAATAGAACTGCATTTACAGATCTTTTTAAAATCGGCTGCCACAAAACTCATGAAATATGAAATAAAAAACACATGTACGCGTATTTTATGAGAGCTATCGAACGGGTTAATAATAATGATTTTGTTCAGGAAATTTTCATCTGACCTTTCGTGCTTCTAACAGATAACATTATCATTTCAAAGTATTTACTAACTAGGTTTTCATAAAATACTTCGTGTTTTTTTTTCACATTTCACGAGTTTGATACCCGGTTGTGGCAGGCGATTTTCAAAAAATCTGTGAATGTAGTTCTACTTATTATGAATATATGATAGAATTATGTCTTTTGTCAGTAAAATATCTTATCTTCAATATTTAATAAACTTTCCCCCCGGGTGGCATGGCCGAGGAAGGCCCCGTATACCTCTCTTTTTACTCTCCCCGCACACAACCAACTATGGCGATTTCGATTTCAAAGAAAAAATTTGTAATACGAGCTCTTGTGGGGGGTGCTATATTAGTCAGTCGGTGTTAGACCTAATTTTAACAAAACGACGACACACTGAGGTCCTGGATCGGCACCCCGGTAGTGGCATTTTTTTATATAGCAGACCTCAGGGCCGGATTTAGATGTGTTGAGGCCCTGGGGTAACGAAGGAGTAGAAGCCCCTGCGAGGATGTATTTTAAAATATGATTTGCCCCCACCCCCCTGGTAGGTGCTAACCCGTCGAAGATTGATTATTTTTTTATCGCTATTGTAGAGGCCCTTCTGTTGTGGGCCTTCCCTAGCCCAGCCCACCCTGCCTTAAATTCGGATTTATTCCAATCATGTCTGCCAGGGCTGTTCCTGGCAGACTTGACTGGATAGAGTAATGGCATAAGAAAAGATAAAAATTCTCACTTTCTTGTCTCTTCAAGTATCTCATTTTATCCAGACTATCGTTCAAAGTCTTGAGCACCGTAATGATTTCGTAGACACAGAAAGTAAACTGTGTCCCTTGAAGTATGAGCAGCACACAGATGTATTCATAGCAGCAGGTCAGAATCGATCCTTTGACTGGAAAGAGGAATTACCTAGTATAGTACTTAGATTATTTTTTTAAGCATTTAAATCTTAGACTACAGATTTAACTGTTACATAAAATCTAAAGAAAATATTACTAGAGAAAAATCCGCTTGGTCCGCATTCCCTCCCGTTTTATAGTCGCGAGTCAATCGGTTTCTTCTAGGCAAGCGCGTCCCACCTTAGGCTGCTACGTCGCTTTTCATCAGTCGCGTGGCCGTCAAGCGTAAGCCTATTTAATGTAAAAAAAAAAAAACCTGTGCCCTATTGCATCAAACCGACATATTTCGCTGACACATGTCGGCTTGGTCGTGGTATATCTAATTTTTCTTTGAATGCATGCAATGTGATATCTAATGAGAAATTTATTCTAGAAATTTGGTATGGCGTGTAAATAGTCTACCACTGAATGCGGGCTTATATAATGCGGGGCGAATTATTATGTACGAGCTGGTTGAACACAAAGTAAACATCAACTATGCCACAAGAGAAAGTCAGATAAGGCGCAATGCCACCAACGACTCACCTGGATGTCTCTCTGCTCCCTATCCGGGCTTGCAAGCGTGGGCACAGCACAAGCAGCTCCTTCCTTCGTCCTTTGGATATGCGGAATTGTCTACACGATTTCAGCGAAAATAAGCGATGCGAGTAATATTATGTGTGTACCAAGCGCGAAACAGCTGAGCATGGCCGTTGAAAAAGACGAGCCAAAGAGCGTTATTATTGTTTGAGTACCCGTGCATAAGAATATTCGCGATACCCACGTATCTGCCATCTGGACAGGTTCGCAGATCGAACACCGGGTGGCGCCAGTTGCGCCATTATTGATGTACTCGTACAGACGGAATCTACACGCTTCATCCAGTGCGGGAGCAAATCAATAGTGAATACAGCTTCGAGTATACGTAGAGAGTGATTGCTTGAGGTGAAACAGAAAGCCGCGGAAAGACTCGTTAATCTAGAGCGCTATAAAATCGAAGTCGAGGAAAACTTAGTCCGACAGCAGACTTCGTTGGAAATTGAGGCAAATTGAGGCAATTCGCAGGAAAACGACGACATGGCTGTCGTGCCATCTCAACCCTCGAAGTATCAAACGGCTTCATGTTTTTACCCTACACGACAAGCGCCTGAACCGACGACCCAGACCGACGCGTATCTCGCAGATGTATTGCTACAAATTGCTAGCTTGTCAATTAAGGAGCTGCCCACTTTTTCCGGCTCTCCGGAGGTGTGGTTTCTGTTTAATAGCCAATTGAAGAGGACGACCGTGCTTTGTGGCTTTAGCGACGAGGAGAACATTGCACGTCTAGCGAAATGCTTGAAAGGTGAGACGCTAAAATCCATATATGCCATGTTAATGAGTGTTACCAACTTACAGCGCATTATCACAAAAATTAAAAATGAGATTTCGACGGGTCAACATAATACAGTCATAATAGAAAATTTAATAGACAAAATTAATTTCTTTGGCAATATATATCATAATGACATGCACAAATAGATGAAGTACGCAACCGTTATCCAGAACACAGTCGCTGTCATGATAGCCAACGAACTGATTGACCACCTACGGAACCCGACGTGGAAATTGGACCGTGATCCACTACGCGGGCCCAGTTGGTGGGTGCTAACAACTGCAGATGCAGCCGGGGCATTCAGCTTAAGCTTTTCAATGCACGGAGAAGCTAGAGATATCAAGTTTTTGGTCACCCATCTAATAACCGACCATCGCGGAAGTGCTTAACTTCCATGATAGGATGCCGAACACGCTAACCACCTGCACAATCGAGCTACTTCTCTCATTATTAAAATTCTAAAATATTCGTTACTTACAACTAAATCCTCCATGGTTGATTAACCTGTTGTTGCTAGACATCACAGCCACACCCAGTGCGAACATAAAAGCGACGTACATTTTGAGTCGCCTATTCTCTTCTGTCAGATAACGATTCTGGACTCCCAAGGTGAGTTTAATCTGTGTAAAAGTAGTCATATTTACAGTAGGAATTATAGTCCCGGCGCGCTATCATGGCCGTTTTTCACATTGCAATAGTGACGTTAAAAGTCAGAAAAAAATCTAATATAATCAAATGCGAGTCACATAGATGAATGATTGGTCTGATGACTAATCATTTATCTATGGCGAGTCACATCTAGGTATTAAACATTTTGAATTATTTACCAATATTGCAAGAAGTTGTTGATTATAAAGATTCTCTGTAAGCTCGCAATCGGCTGTCCTGACCGAATTTTCCAAAAAGTTGTTTAAATATATTAAAAAATGTCACTCCTAATGAAACTTTAAGTCTGTAACTTTACGGGCCCACTGTTTTTAGAACCATAACTATTTAAAGATTTTTTTCTAGACGTGATAGAAGCTCTAAAAAAACAGTCCCCTAGCTGTCACCATCACTATAATCCCATCTAGATATGAGAATTACGTAGAAGTTATTGAAACAATATACAATTTGACAGTTTATAGCTCAAAGAAAAATAACTAAATTATATTACTTTCGTGAAACCAAGTTGCATTACGTATTATATTTATTAAGTGAAGTCCTGTAAACTTTGTTCCCAAAATTTCCATACAGTCCTCTGCCAAAAATTTAAAGCCATAATAGAAAAAAAACGTTTTCTAACGTTTTTTTGAGTGAAACAAAACGCAATTTTTGTGCTGTTGGCAACCTTGCCGAATGCAGCGGTGAGATGCTATTTTATTTAGTGTCAGAGCATCATTGAGAGTGAGATGAACATGCGTTTGGATCGCTACCATACGTAGTCCTCTGGTGAGCAATATTATCTATGTTACTTACTTTAATTAACTCTATATAAAATTTCTTGTTTTATTATTTATGTCTAAGTTGATTAGTACGTTCAGAAAAAACTATTTGACGTCGGTTTTGTGAATATTGTGAAATTTAACCGAAATACACAGTCCCCTGGCAACAGTCCTCTGTCTCCAAATGCAGCAGAGGGCTGTTGTGCACAACAGGCAACAGGGGACTGTGTATATTGCCTATTGGTTCTTATTTTTATGTATTGTTCGTGAAAATTTTATTCGCTATTCTGTTCTATCAGTGTAAAATAACAAAGGAATCATGAAAGTATTACATCACATTGTTTTCCCTGATAAACTTTTATTAATTTTCGCAGGCTCATTGAAGACACATCACACATTCGCTTTTCATGATATTATGTATTATGGCTAAAAGATAAAAGTATTCCTAGAGGAATTACAACAGAAAAAGTGAGAAGTGGAATAACTACGATACCTAAGATGAATAAAATACCCTCAAAAGAGAGAAGAAATTAGAGAAAAGGAGAACTTGAAATACCAAAACCAGAAAGAAAAATATTTGCGGTAGTTAGTAATGATTATGACACCACGTGAGTATAGAGCTGCCTTGAAGAAGTGGAGAGAACATTGTTCCGTTTACCGAACCAAACGACTAAGACTGAAAGTGCTCCTAGCATGTCATGCTTATTTAGCCGATGCTATTTTGGATCTTTGGCTTATAAATGGTTAAAAAAAACTTTTTTATCAAAAATCGTTTGATTACTGCTCGTGAATAAATTCGAGTCGATTTCGATGGTTCTTATTTTAACATTACGTATATAAAATAACTGAGAAAAATAATTTTCTCAAAAATTGTCAACTACTCCGTTAATCACTGAAAGATAGATCCGAATCCAAAACTTTAATTCCTTCATATTGTCGTATGTAAAGAAAAAAATAGAATTTATAATTTGGTTCAGTACGTTGTATATAAAAGAAAATGAATGTAATTGAAATATTGTACTTTACTATTTAATGGTACGGAACCTCCTTACATACGAGCAAGTGTTATTTCAGCTAATACCCAGCTGATAAGGTACCGGGATAAAACTCTCGGTTACAGCAATTAACTATTGAAGTACAAAGGCCGTAGCGTGGGAATTCAAATCAAAGATGGCGGTTTTGATACATGCAATTTATATTCAATAATCTCACGGATTACATGGCGGCGGCCCGCAGCGAAACAATGGTTCTTATAACGTAACACTAATGATGCTATGTAATAATCTACCAACCCAAAAAGTCAATAAAGTCCAGATGGGACACGTGGCGACATTGAACGCGCACTTGCGAAAAAAAGGAAAATAACTACGTGAGCTCACGATTCGACACACATCACTGGTGCTACCACGTTCCCTCGTTGAACGAAGCGACGGTGGCGGTGATGCCTCAGGACGTCAACCCATGACGTCACAGCATGCTGCACTTTGATGGTAGGGGTCTACGGGCTGACGCCGCAGTCCTCAGCAGGAATCACACAGGCGGAAGGAGCTCATGGGCATTTGAGCCCATCGGTGAAGCCGAAGATTCGAAGAATCGGGCGTGGGTGACCCCATGTCACACCTCGTGCACGCACGATGGCCGCGAGATCAAGTTTTTACTTACATGAACTACTCAATAGATATTTCTGGTAAGGGCAGAAGGCTATAAAAAAACTAAAAACTAAGGGGCATGGCGGTGTGCCACTTCATCCCCCTGGTTCGATAATCGGCCTATCAAACATAGTGCCACTAGAATGTTTATACACCGCGGACTGATTTCGGTGACGAGCGACACAGCCTCCTCGTAGGAATGTCACCGGGGGACTGTCGAGACGCCAGTTACCACGATAAAGGTGTCTCATGCGCTTAGGCACACATGACGTTTAGTTTTCTTGTTTTTATTGAAAATGTTATTTTCATATTTATTGAAAACAAGTCGTGAAATGGAATGAGAATAATTTTCTGAATGCAATGATACCATTAAATCGTAATTTGGTTCGGTATTTATAAAGATATTACGACAAACACTTTTTACAATGAAATATTATTTATGATCGTGTTTTCAGACACAGCAATGATTCCAGTAATGAATTAGTAGACGAAACATAATCAAGGATGTATGTTCGATCGTAATTAATGGTTGTTAAATTGTGCTACCTATTATTTCATAAGTTATGTACCTATTGTTGGCATATTATTTGCGTGATCGCCGGTCTGTAACGTCACGTCGTCAAAGAAAAGTCGTGTACCACGACAATATTAAATGTAACAAGGATTTTTTTTGTGAAGGATTTAAAGTTTTAGTTTTTATCTATCTTTCTTTTCTTTCGTTTCTTCTTGATATTCAACCTCTCCTTCTACATTTTCAATATCCTTTCATAATCAATCTGATTTCTTTCTTTAATTTCATATTATTATACGATCATCTGCACATAAAGTACCTACCTTAAAAGAAATCATTTTTTCAGTTAGTGTAATGCAAAACTGTTTGTAATACAACTACTAGTTAAACTCATTTCCTAAGTTCCTTTCAGTAATGTCATCGATATATTTTATATATATGTACGTATGCATATGTGTATTTAAATATATGTATATATGTGTGTGTGTATATATATTTATATGTCTTGTGCTCATGTATATTTAATTATTATGTATAAGATAAGTACTTTCTATTATGGTGTGTTTATATTATCAATAACTTTTTTACTAAAGCCGCATTCGTGACTTTCTGTACTCCTGAAGGTTGACTGGCAGAGAATGCTTAAAGCGTTAAGTCCGCCTTTTGTCCATTTTGTAATTGTGGCAATAAATATATAAAACAAATAACTAAATACTAGGGGAGAGGGTGGCACATTAGCAAATTTTTAATATTTGGACTCATAAAAATGAACTATAAAGAGAAATTGAAAAAACATAGTTTTCTTAGCTTACTTACTCCTTTGCTAATATAAAAATGATAAAATGTTTGAATTTTCTGAAAACGTTATAGAGAAATAATGTGTTTTTTTAAAACACAAATTTGTTCAAATCTGCTCCCCATAGGGGCACATTTGAATCGACATGGGGCATTTTTGATCAATAAGTTAGAAACCAGAAAAAAGAGAGGACAGAGTAATAATTTGTCTTTATTATAATGGGGTTTATTGTTATTAAAATATAAAATAAACTTATATGAAACTTCTAAAGTTACATCTTGCATTATAGTAACAAAAATAAAAATAATCATTTTTAATCGTGTCTGACTTTCTCCTTGTTAATAAAAGTAATCATATTGCACAAGAGTTTTAGTTTATTGTTATTATTATTATACACATACTGCCTCATTGATTGCGTAATTGCGGAATAAGACGTTAAATTGAGTGCGGGCGGCTCCGAGTCCGGAACTGTCTGGCTTCCGCACTATATGTTCGTGATCTATCCATTCGCTTTACTCTCTTTCAGTGAAGTGTGAACTAGATAAAGTACTGAACTAATTGGGACCCGAATGAAGGAGATACTTGCTAAGTGGACAAGTCCAATTGTAGAATTAATTCACGAACGACTGAACTCTAGTAGGAATAGTAACCCAACTTTCAGTATTATTTTACTAATATTGGTTTACTAACTTTCCGTAATTGCTGCATGCACTGCATAGTTGCAGTTAGCCTTGTATAACCCCGACACGCCGTAAGACTGATTCCAAAAGATGAGAGCAAACTGTCTAAAGCCCAACACAAGAAACTTGACATTTTCGGTATTGATGAGTATCCCTTCAAAAAAGCCGAAATGACACTGCCGAATCCGCATATACCTGTAAACAATTTTCAGGGTAAATAATAGGCTGTATTTACACTGTACTCAGGCCCTGAGCTGAGTCTTAGAATGTTGTTGGTGCCCTGAGGCGGTGAGTTGTACAGAAGCGGAGCTGTGCTGTGCTGTGCGCGGAGAGGATCAGAGCGTATGCGTAGGCAAGTGATTTCTTTGAAGCTGTGCGAATATGAGGCGTGCAGCGCCGAGCGGAGTTGTGTGAAGTAGAAATGTGGACTGTAAATCCATAGGTCGCTGGTTCAAATCCGGCTCGAAGGACCATGTTCCGACTTGCACTAGATAACGGTGAATGTTTGGAGTAAAAGAGGAAGTTCTTTATAAACTACACTAAAATTAACATTAATGATAATAATGTTTTTACGCGTATGTTGAAATGTTAATGTTTGATGAATGCACCCGACTCATTCGGTACCAAAAATGCACTGAATCAATTGACGCGCGTGTTAACCTAATTAACGCGGTCTTAGGCAAAATTATGGGTGTTCGATTACAATGCATCGAACATATTGCCGACCGGATTTTTTTTTTTCTCATACTTGTTAAATGCTAGTTCATATTCTGTGGAGCAGAGTGAAAATGGGCTGAGCAGAACCGTTAATACATTTTATTTGCAGTTCGTGAAACAAAATGAAATTAAAACACTTCGCTCTACCATGTACAACACAGTCGGTGGACAAGCATCGGTGCGTGACCAGTTTAACTACGACATCACCCGCGCTCTCTTTTAGTATTGTCAATGGTTTTAATGGGTAAGGGTAGCGGTTCCTACGTTATCCTCGTTATAACTCCCGTTGGCGAGAAAGGCGTCATACCTTACCCAGATAACTAAAATTGTTGGGCGACCACGGGTTCTGTATAAGGAGGACCTAATCGAGACTATCATGGCGATGATGCGAAGAAAAGGCACAGACAGATGCTCAGAGCACCAACAATCTCCTGATTGATGGAAGACCAGGGGGCCATTCACCTAACAGGATTGCTATGGCTATTGATTTTAATTTGTTATTTCTACCGCCGAAGGTTTTCAAATGCCTCGCGCTCTTTTTTTTTCTTTTGCATTGGTAATAAAAATAAAAAAAAATGAGTGTCAGGAATTTAAAATCATTTGTCGGTTAGCAAAAAAAAATGAAATCGTAAGCGACAGTGATAGCTATCCCGTTAGGCGATTGGCCCCAGGGTGTTGATTCTGCTAAGCTAACGTAAAAAAAAATGGTGTCTCAAGAGTGATTCAATGATAACGCTTTTTGACACAGTTCTTGTTGTTAAAACAACATAATTACTGTTACTAACAAAAGAAAACGAAATTGTACAGATTTTCTGTTTTGTATATTTTAAGTCTTGTGCTCTTATTTTATCTACCCCAGGTGCCTTATGGCAATCTATGTCTCTAATGATTCTTTCCACTTGTACTGCATTCACTTTCCTGTATCTAAATGTGACGCTACTTTCTTTTACGTATGTTTTTTCTGTCCATAAATTTTATGTTATAATAATGTTTAATTTCTAATATTTCCTTAGTAAAAGTTGTCGTTACAGTTACTTAGTAAAAGTTACTACAAATATTGAAAATACTGTCTGATTTTCCTAGGTGCTTAATTATTACATTATCTAAACTTGGCTTTACCTGTCCAGTCCATTTATTAATATGCGCCCATACTTTCCTATCACCATTACAATTAGTTATTTGACCCCTTCTGTACTTATTTTTTGCATAAAAAAATCAATTTATTTACCTTATTCTTACACCGCGTATATTATAACCGCTTATTCATGTTTTCAGGAGATGCTTTGTATATACGAAACAATTTATCCATTTAATTTATGGCCAGCCCACTGCCACTTCAACTTGCTAATCCGGTGGGCTATGTCGATAACTCTGGTTCTCTGCCAGAATAATTCATTTCTGATGCGATCCTTCAGAGAAATGCCGAGCATAGCCCTTTCCATAGCGCGCTGAGCGACTTTGAACTTGTGGACCAGCCGTACCGTCAGTGTCCACGTCTCGGCTCCGTATGTCATCACAGGTAGGACGCACTGATTGAAAACTTTCGTCTTTAGGCACTGTGGGATCGACGATGCCAGGACTTGACGCAGCTTCCCAAATGCGGGCAGCATTAAGCAACAGCAACCTAGCTGAATTCTTCTATTCATCTCGTCATCAAAATTGTTTCTACCTAACTGCAATGTTTGGCCCGAGGTATACATATTTTTGAACAACTTCGAGAACGGCACCGTGTATTGCAATCGGTTCCGGTAGAACATTTTCATTGAACATGACCTTGGTTTTATCCAAGTTCATCCGTAGGTGGATGCGTATAGAAGAGTCAGCCAGGTCATTAAGCATTTTTTGTAGGTCCTGCAGGGTTTCTGCCATGATGACGATGTCGTCTGCAAATCGCAAGTGAGAGATGCGTTCGCCATTTATATTGATGCCATGTCCTTTCCAGTTCAGCGTCTTGAACATATCCTCCATTGCATTAGCGAACAATTTCGGGGAAATAACGTCCCCTTGTCTCACTCCATCATTTCTGCTTCCAAATCCATGGGATCCTACTAACGATTCGCTGCAATTCTGTACTCCCACTTTAGCGTTGAAATCCCCCATAACAACGTTGTAGTGGGTCTTAGTAGTGGAGTGGAGGGCCCTCGATATATCATCGAACATATCCTCCACTTCGTCGTCCGAGTGTGTGAGCTTTATAATAAGGTACACTACCCTGTTCGACACGCTGGACATTTCTACAACGTTATCGACAAGGGACTTACCCAACTAAAAACCCAACGCCACCTTGGGACTGTTGGTCTCCCCCGCGGAAGTACATTAGGTGGGCCGATTCAAGGATTATGGTGTCCTCCCCCTCTCTTCGGACTTCACTTATCCCCAATATGTGCGATCTAATCTTCCCAAGTTCCACCTCGAGTTGCGCCAGATGCGAGTCAAGCCCGGAGATTCTTGGCACCCCCCGCCCCGCCGTTACCGTTGTCGCCACCGTGACCTGGAATAGCAGGCCTGTCATGAACTGGGGGCCGTGACTTGTGATCTGTGTACATTGGAGGTATTGCCCGTAATCGCCACGCTGGGCAGGCGGGTTGGCGATCGCAGAACGTAGGTTAATTCACTGAATGACGCTGCTGCCCGCCACCAGTGAGATTTCCCTTCCCTACGTCGTTAGATGGTCATACCGCCATCTGTCGGTTTGCCAGAGCCTCATCTGTTGGTCAACAGGGTGCACCACGTGAAGGTGAGGTTGGCTTGGGTTCTTGCAGGTGTATTTAGAACCCCTTACACCTGCTTACATGCTTATTTTACGGGTAATCATTATCAAAGAATATATGATTTTTTTACATCAACTTGTGATTTTATTTTGAAACACCCGAGAGCCTTATTGAAACCGGCTACGCCGTTGGACACCCCGACTCAGTCGCCGTCGGTTTCCATGGAGCAACTTAACTATCATGTGACGACAGATAATCAGGCTTGCGATATTTCGTATCTATCTAGATATTACGCAGGGTACTAACAGCAAGTTTGATGAAATGTTAAAGAAGCAAAATTGCAATTTAAAACTTTCTCTCGTACTATTTCCAATTTCAACGTTGAATTTTTATCAGAAAAGAGTTTTAAGATGAATTGAAGACCTAGAGTCACGGCGGTCAGTTATTGATGCGCTACACTGAGAATTAGACACTGAACTCGATGAAAAAAATAAAATGTATTAGTTATAATCAGTGGGCCCGAGATCTACATGGTCGTTTAGCTTCAATTGCTTACGCACATAGCCGGATTGAGTTTTATTTCAAATTTTTGCCTAAAACCTAACCTACAAGCATGTGGTTCTCATTCCCACCAATTTTGGTCAATCATTCCGCCGGGAAGCTGGTACATATAAAATGATACCGAAAAAAAAGGCATAATATCGTCGTCACATTCGTTCTAGGTGGTTTTCTTAAGGATTTAAGTTGTGGGCCAGAGGTTCACATGCTCAATATTGAAAAGCAGATGAATAAAAGAATTTAGCGTCACAATTAAAATAATAATTATGTCATAGACAATAACAAATGGATAAAGGTAAAAAAAAAACAATTCTGTAACCATTGTGATTTTTGTTTTTAGCAACTATAACTTTGTCAGAAAATACTGAGACTCCATTGAAACACGATTAACATTTTAGCTTAGCAGGTATCGACACGCAGTACGATGGACAGCTTATTGAAAACCTATCAATACTGACAGCAGTAAGTAAGGTGTTTATTAGTTCGTCCAAAATGGGCTGCCCTTTCTTTTAATAGCGGTTACATAATCATACAGTCATTACTTACCGATTACAACAGCGAAAATTATTTGTATATAAAAGAGCGTGCGCGATACTCGAACTCGCCACCCGTGACGAGTCTTTGTAAAAATAATTGGCGCCACTCCCAATATCTGCGACACTCGGAGCACTATGCACAGAGATCTCGGTACCGAGTACACGTTCTCAATACGTTTATCGTCATTCTTCGCTGTTTGTGCATGTTTGGGCTCTGAACACGAATTAGATAGAAATGAGTTTCCTTCTAGTAATATAAGTTATTTACGGGATTGATACCATGTACCTTTTAGCGTGTTTTTAAAAAAGTGTCGTGTCGCGATCCGATTCTGTAAGTGTTGTGTGTCGAGAACAGTTTCGAATGAATAGTGAGAATGTAAACAGTGGTACGGGTATCGAACGCAATAAAAGACTTCGTCGGAGGGTAGACCGATATGTTTGCCAATAACAGCCTACCCGCTATTACTTCAGTTACTCCGTGATCATGGCGCTTGCAACAGTGCCGAAATATCGGAAACTCGCTTAAAACAAGGTACATGGTAACAATCCCGTAAATCTTTATATATATAATTCTTCTGTGAGTGTGTATGTCACTGAACTTCTCTTAAACGACTGGACCGATTTTGATGAAATTTTTTGTGTGTGTTCAAGGGGATCTGAGAATGGTTTAGATTCACAATTTTGTCCGCTGGACAATGTTTTTTTAATTAATTTTTTTTATGGCGGTACGAAGTTCGCTGGGTCAGCTAGTAACTTATATACTGTAATGTTAGTGACCATGAAAGTTTAAAACAATGAATTTCCTTTTTTAAAGGATTCACGGTTTCATGATATTTTGCTTCTATTGTTAAATGCTGATAAGTGTGTTTAGCCCGTTCTTGTTACTAACTAGGAGGATGATGGGGTAACTTAAACGAAATTCTATTTTGCAGTCCGTCAGGAACATTATCAAAAAATAATATACACAATATATTTTACTGTGTCTCTCAACCAAAAATTTAAAAAGATAAAGCGCGTCATAGATTGCGAGTGAAGCTTGTGACGTCACTTCTAAGCAAAAATTTTTCCAAGATCTGACGTCATGCGACTTTTCAAATCGACATATCTCTGCAATGTTTTCATTAAGTGAAAAAAGAAAAATACGTGTCCCATACTTTTTGATGTCCTGTCGCCTACATAACAAAACTACTTTAATGTTAGTGACCATGAAAGTTTATAACGTTATAGATTCAAAAGAGCTTACAATAAGAACATTTTCGAATAAATCCATTTCATTTCAGAGTTCCATTGCTAATAGATTACAACGGAAGCTATTAGCTTTTGCTGTTATTAAGTAATAAATTGTTAGTTATAAATTGAAAACTTACCTACTCTCATTGCTTTGGTTATCAATAAATTTATTCAAGCTGTTAATGTTGTTTGTGAAACCTGAAAACACTCAAATCACAAAGATATCCTTGTATACTGACTAGGATTTACAGAAAAAATAGAAAACTTATTACAAAGTGTCTCGAGGTAAATAAGATAAAGGCGTAAAACCTTTTGTTAGCGTTACTTGACGTTGATAAATAGTAATCATTCAATATGTAAATATGTGTTTTTGCTACAGTTTTGGTTGGAATCCTTAATGTCCATATCTATCTAGCGAATCAATAAATAATGAAATAGATTTCTGAAAGCTTACTACGATCACTTATTGCGAATGCACTTAGGTTCTATATAGAATTGCTTTGTTCATGTCATGTCATCCATATAAGCAGCGCTTACTTGCGATAGCGGTCCTATTGAGATCAGCCCCTCTAGCATGACCACCGAAACGGGATATGATAGAGCGATATATCGGCATTAACTGTCAGACTACTGTCAAACAGTAGACAGACTACTGTCAAACAGTAGTCGGACAGTTAATGCCGTTATATCGCTTTATCATATCCCGTTTCGGTGGTCATGCTAGAGGGGCTGAGTAGCAATCGGTGCACTTATAAAACGGTATAGGTACCTACTGTAGGACGTTGCAAAATACTTTTTGTAGCATTCGTATGTTTCAAACCAACTGAAACCAACAGATTACCTAAAAAGCTACAAGCTCAGTTAAGACGAAGTGAAAAGTAGCACACACAGATATTTTTTTGTTTTAAAATTTTGCTTAATGAATTGGTGCATCAGATATACGTCATGAACATTTGAAACATAAGCTAGGTATCACAGTGGACTTGCAAAATGTATCCGGTGATGATAAATGACACAAAACAATACTGGTTAAACCGTTTTAATTGGCATTATAAACACGTATGTAAGTATTCTTACTTGCGTAGAGAATATGTGTA